TGTCATACAAGCCAGCAGGTACATACTGCCAGATACGCGGAGACTCACTGCTGGGCTAGCGAAGCGACGTCTGCAGTGCCGGGTCGGGATTCGAAGAGACGACGGACGGCATGATGCCGATGCCGTCTTCTTCGAGAAGCTGGGGACTGGGGAGGAGAAAAAAAAGAGCTCGTTCGATTCCTCAAATTCCTCGATCTTCCTTCCCGGCATGGAATCGGCCTAGAGAAGCCTGTAATTATTACAACCCAACGACCCCCCAAGCCGAAGCAGCATGCACAAGCGAAGCAGAAGGCATCTGAGACAGAATGGCAATGGCCATGTATGATTAATGGTTCCCATCAGAAGTCCGGACCAAACAACGCAAAAAGCACGCACAAATCCCAGCACCCTCTGTTAGAAGTTAGAGGCAGAAGCCGCAGATGGTCTAATCCGGCATATCGGTCGGGTTATGCAGACGGGCCCTCAGCACATCGACGCTCAGGCTTCCTGGAGCCTAATGCTGGAATGGCAGACCAGTCATCTCCTTCTTCTTCACTTTGTCTTACTGTTGCTGCTCTTCTTCTTCATTTCACCTGCTTGAATCCGAATCAGCAACCAACTACGCAAACCAAGGAGCCCAAAATCCTCGGATCCTCCATCCTGACAAAATCCAACATCCAAGCCCTACAAGGCCAAACACCCGAGGCTCTTGCACCCTAAAGCCCGGCACCCTAAGCCTTAAAGCCCTGAACCCTGAACCCACGCTCTAAACCGAACGTTTCAATCTTTACATGCGCCCAAACCAAGCTTGGGTTTAGGGATCACGGGTCCAAACCCTAAACCAAAACGCTTCAACCCTCGGGATCAGGACCGCCGAGGGACCCAAGCAAGTCTCAATCCTCAGCCCAAAAATCGCAGGCTTTGCGGGAGATGCCAGGGCTTAAGGTTCGGAGTTTGGGATTTAGGCTGTTGGGTTTAGGGTTTGGGGTTGAGACCGGCACAGAACCAAAAAACAATGCCAAGTAATTCGGATTTTGGGCTTAGGGCTACTTCGGACCCTAAACCCTACACCCTAAACTTGGGGCTGTTTCGGACCAAGGATCATGTCATACTGCTGCACTTGCACCCTCTGGCTCATGGCGCAGAAGGGCCCCTGGATCTCATAGGCTGGGAACTCGGCATCCCGTTGTGACTCAAAGGAGTTCAGGAACATGTGGTTCCTTGGTTGCCGGGCTTCGGGGGGGTTAAGGCTCAGGGTTCAGGATTGTGGGTTTACGTCTCGGGGTTTAAGGTAAACCCTAAACCCTAAAC